AAATTATTGTCTAACTTGTATTCGAAGTCTTTGCAGAAATGACTAGACCAAAAGTCGTAGGGAGAAATGAACCACCCCGAAACATAAGAGCGCGCGAGTTTAAAGAAGATGAAAAGAAAACAGAGTTAGCCAGACAAAGGAAATATACCAAGGAAGCTAGGGCCAGACGGAGGATTCTTATTGATCCCACCATTCCTCCATGGAGATGCGGATTCTACACAGCCATAGATTCATTTTTGACAGCTCATGACGTGGATAGAATAGGGCAGGCTAACATCGCTACAGAAACTATGGCAAATGAAAACAATGCAAACCATAATGGAAACACTTTGGGAGATATTGTTTTACATCAAGCTTATGCATCAAACACTAATGCACAGGCAGATTAAGCGAATGCATAAACAGGATCCCCTCATTAACTCCCTCTCTATTTTTCTTTGATTGACTTGTTGGATATTTTTGTTATTTGCATTTGAGGACAAATACCTTTAATTTGTGGTGGGGTGAGGCCCACACCTTTTGTGCTGATAGTTGTGTTTTGTGTATATATTTGGGTTGTTTAGTTTTAAAATTGTGCTTTATCTGTTTCTGTGGATGTTTGAGCTTGAGGCTCCTTTTATTTTTAATTACATAATGATGTTGACCCCTTCTGAAAAATTTTAAATTTTTCACACATTTTTGCCACCCCTTGTGAGTTGAATATGGTTGTTCTTTTGCAAAAATTTGAGTCTCGATTTTGATCAATACCGATGACTTGAATAGTGCTCTCAATTGAACGAACATGAATGTACGGCTACGATAAGACCAAATGAAGTTGCATAGACAAAATGTGAACTCTTTGCATCTCGTTGTGATTAGCCATTTAACGAATTGATTCTCTTGTAATGACTGTTGCACACTAGCGAAAGTGTGTGGTCTTGTTTGACTTAAGTGTCGATGCCTTGTGTGATAAGCTTACTTTGAACCTTGCATGAATAAACCTAGAATTTTCCCCGTTAGTCGGATTAATTTAGTAATGTGTGCTCTTGAAATGATCTTAAGCAACTTTTGAAGAGTGTGAGACAAATTTGACATATACATATTTTATGGTTTACCTGTGAGCGTGTGAAACTCTCTTGAACACCCTTTAAGCCTTACCTTTCTTTGGAAGAACCTTGATGAACCCTAGACCTACTTGACCCACTACCTATAATCCTCTTGATTTGTGGTCTATCGAATAGCCAACTTAGGCTAAAAGCTTAAGTTGGGGGTGTGGTGAAAAGGAAAGGGAGAAGTCAAGAAGTGCAAGAAAAGTCTCCCTTAACCCATGGTGTTGCATAATAATGGAACCCCTTTAAAAAATAGGGGTTGTGGAATAAAGTACAAGAAAATCGGGTTTCCAAGCAATCCATGAAGGTGAATAAAAAGATGACTTAGAAGCACTAGAAAAAGAATTAATCAAGGAAAAGAAGGAAATGCCTTGAGAATACCACATCTCACGAGGAAAAAGTCACTGAGCCTAAATGACTGTACCTTTGCACTCATCCCCATTACAAGCCTTAGAAAGACCTTTTTGATCTTGAGTAAGCCGAACCGAAGATCGATCAAAAAATAAGGTCAAGCCTATGGGTGAAAACATGCATTGTGTTCCTCTTCTGAGTGTAAGCACTGCATTTGATTCTTGATCTTGAATTGATTAACCTCTATGTGTGAATATGGAATCATTTTTTATGTGAGGGCATTTAGATACTTTTTGTTGAGCTTGAACTTGCACAAGTAGCAAGTATTGCGAGCATGAGAATCTTTGGAAATAATGTGTCGTAACTTGAATCTTTGAGTACACAATTGATCCTTGCATAAGTAAATTGAGTCTTGTTGTGTGCATTCATGATTGAGTCTTGTGTAGCAATGTTTGAGACAACCTTTTTGAACAGTTGAACTTGAGTTTGCTTGAATACAAGCAAAAGTTTAAGTTGCGAGTGTTGATGAGTCCACAAATTGGACTCATTTAGGGCTTTATTTTAATAGAAATAGTGTCCTCAAATGCTTATTTATTCTAAATATTTGATGAAAACACTTAAGTTTCAGGTATTTGAAGTTTTAGTGGAAGCATGGACACTTAGGCGCAAAAAGGAACAAAAAGGCTGAAAAGAACAAAGAAGCTAAAGCCTAAGCATCGCCAAGCACGCTTGGCGATTCGCCTAAGGGATGCACTCCGCCCTTTGTTCCAGTGTGATAAGCCCTGAAGGAAAGGATCAAGTCGGCAGAAAATGGAGCAGTCGGCGCATCGCCGAGTAGTTCCGCGAAGCAGTAGTATGTCGCCCAATGACACAGAGCACAACGATGCTGAAGGTTGGTGCAAGACGACGACGAACTACACCAAAGGGTGAATCGCCGAGTTAATCGACGATTCCGACTAACCTCGTCGAGCAATCCGCCAGCACTATTTTTTGAAATCTATAAATACTAAACTCTTTATTAATTTTTAAGGAGAGTCGAACAATTATTATTATTTCCATATAAAATAGTACTTTTTTGCTCTAAGTGAGAGGGTTTTGGAGACTTGGAGGAGAAGAGGGTTTTCATCTTCAAGATTTGGAGTTGGGTCTCTTGAATTCTTCATTCTTGGCCTGTAACAAGACTTAAATCTTCATACCCATTTGAATGCAAACTCATTTAGGTATAAATTTCTATTTCTTGATGTGTGGCCAAAAACCCCAATTCTTGGGGTATGATTTAGCGAATATGGGTTAAGATATTTGTTGGGGTTTGCTTGCTGATAGTTTATTTGTAGTTTAATTGTGAGTTCGTTTAGTGGTTGTGTATGAATCTAATGAATTTGTAGTTGCAAATACAAGTTTATTTATGTGTTTTCGGCTTGCTCGAGAGAGAGAGGTCGTAAAACTAAGACCACTAAATTGATGGCCTAAGGAGTGGGTCGACATGAGGTTTAGCCCGAGAGGGTGAGCCCTAGTCCCATATCCTAACACTCAGCTCGAGAGAGTTAGTGGGGTAAGGCGTAGGCTAGCCTTCATGCAGCAAGTGGGTGTCCGAGAGAAACCCATTTGAAACGGGATAAGTTGCTCGAGAGAGAACTTATTTCCACATAAAGCTTAGTCTAGTCACTATTACTCTATAACTTTTCTATCGAAAGCATGTACCCAATAATTTATATTAATCCGTATTCCGGTCACATCTCAAGAATCCCCTTCTCATTGTTTAGATTCCATTGTTAATTTGTTGTTTTTATTTATTTGTGACAAAAACCCCATTTGATATTTGACACTTTGTGTCACCCCCTTTTATTTACTATGTTTTTACTCGTTAATGTCTTTAGCTACGACTAGTTAGAACTTAATTTTATTTTTCTATAAATTCTCAAAACCACTCTCTTGGGACGATCCCAACCCTTAATTGGGTTATTATACTATTGCTCGATCGTAGACACTTGAATTGGAAGTTGTGTCGTTGATTACGCATTTTAAACATCACTCACATGAATCCAAATGAGGGTACGGCAGTTACAAGGATAAGGGACTTCACTAGGTTGAATCCTTCGAAGTTCCATGTTTCCAAGGTTGATGAGGTTCTCAAGAGTTCGTTGATAAGGTGTATAAGATAGTTGGAATTATGGATTTTTTTCTACGGGGGAGAAGGCGGAGTTGACCGTTTATCAACCAAAGTGTGTTACTCAATTTTGGTTTGAACAATGGAAAAGTGAGAGGGCGGAGTTGGAAAACCAAGAATGTTTGTTTCTCGTTCCTTTCTTTCTGCCTGTTTGTTCCTATTAGTATTGCCTAGTGGCCATGAATTTACCCAGAATGCATGTAATTTTGCTTGGTTTACTGTTCTTACTTTTCTATGATGTCAAAAGGAGGAAGATACACTGATAACATGTAAGCCAGTTCAGATCAAGGGATCAGGTCTTTCCGACAAGGGAAGCATGTTGATAGGGGGAATGTGCAAGCAAAAGATATGTAAACATGGGCAATAGTTTATCATCATCAAAAAGGGGGGAAATGTTGTATTTTGGGATTTTGATGATTTAACAAGCTATAAAGAACTAGGATCTAGTAAAGGGACCTGGTCCTCTGTGTTTTTGTCGTAAAGGACAAGTCAATGAAGTGCAGTTGTAAAGTTGTAGAAACTGCAGTGGTTGGTGGGCACTACAGTAGAGGCGCATAAAGGACAACAGTCCTCGACCAATGACATGCTGCTAAGTTGTTTTGTGCCTCTTATATATTGAAAATGTTGACAAGAAACAACCTACTATTTGCAATTAGGATTATTCAAAAGCAAAACCCGTTTTAAAGAAAGAACTACTCTGACACACAATGAGGGACCCGGTTTAGTCTTGCAGAGTTTGAAGTTGTTATTTAAGTCTAGTGTCTTATGGTCTTTTATTAAGAATATATTCCTATGTTACATGGGAAGATAGATCATGCCATTCCATATTAGTGTTAATTAAGTTTGCGGCTTGAGTTAGCTGAGTGGTGTTTGTTGAAGTTTATACTACTTACAGGTAGTTGATAAAGTGGACAATAAGGTTATTGCTTTGTGTTTTGTAATAAAGGTGTTTAAAGGTTTGTAGGATTAAGATATTAATCCTTGTGATTAATAGAGCCAGTACTCACAAGTTACTTGAAGTTACTGGAGTTTTGAGAAATCCTGTGTGACAAGTCGTAGTTTTCCTCTCTTGAACAAGGAAGTTTCCAGGTAAACATCTATGTTCTTTACTTTGAGCATTTACATTACTCCCTGTTATTACTACAGTCAAGGGACCTGGTCTCCTGACTAGTCGTGGACACATGCAAGCCAACGAAGGAAAAATTGTTCTTACTTCCCCAAGGGAGGCTGAAAGTCTTTTACAGAATAAGTTGTTCTTCTTTCATAAGCAAATGTACTAGGTGCTTTTGTATGTAGAGAATGTTTTTAGCTCTTTTCACAACTCTGCTCCTATCTTTATATACAGCAAACTGAGTGTCAAGTTGTCATGCTTAATACCATGCCACAGATTTTTGAGTAAAACTATTTAGTTGAACAACCAGTAGTTCTTGTTCTATATGACCGCAACAATTAAGTTACTATAGCGTACAGAAAACATCCATGACCTGAAAATTTATCTCCTATCTGGCATCCAACTGTGTGATGCTTAATTCATTCACTGAAGTTTCGCCATGCTTGCTAGATGAACTGTCAGCTTCAGTGAATTGGTTCCTGCCATTGAAAAAGCCTGGCTCTTTAGGCGAGGGTAGTGCGACATCACTACCCAACATGAGCACAACTGATGCCAAATTCGGCCTATCTTCTGGACACTGCTGCACACATAACAGACCTACATGAACTGATCTTTGAACTTCAGACCGATTGCATGACTGCCTTAGTTGTGTATCAATTACTTCCATAACCCTGCCTTCTTTGAAAAGGATCCACACCTGAACATTTACTATCATGCAGTTAGATGCTATAAGTTTTACTTAATATATAAGATAGACAAGAAGATCACCTACATGTCCTAGAAGATTATGGTTATGGTCTGGATGCAAGAACCCTCTATTTCTCTTCCTGCTTAAAATCTCCAGTACTAGAACTCCAAAGCTAAATACATCTGATTTCACTGAAAATGCTCCTTTTTCTGCATACTCCGGGGACATGTATCCACTGTAGGATAATGTCAAATAAACAAAGTAAGTAGCTTTTTAGTAGACTGCAAATACTTGATCGGTTTAAAGATTCTTACTATGTCCCAACCACTGTTTTTGTCATGGCTGCAGTCTCATTTCCTCCAAAACTTCTTGCCATGCCAAAGTCGGATATCTTTGGGTTCATATCTATGTCTAGCAAAACATTGCTAGGTTTAAGATCTCTGTGGATTATCCGCAATCTTGAGTCTTGATGAAGATAGAGAAGTCCGCGAGCAATTCCATTAATAATATGGAAGCACTTAGGCCAATCAAGCAGTGACCTCCTATCTGTATCTGCAAAAATTCTGAGCTTATAGTAGAACACTTCAGATATTTCAAATCAAAGAACAGATAACAAAATTCATCTGACGATTGAACTATTACTACAGATAACTAAATGTGTTAAGAGTTGAGAGAAGTGAGAACCAACCAAAAAGGAACCAATCCAAGCTATTATTAGGCATGTACTCATAAACCAACATTTTTTCTTCTGATTGGATACAACAACCAAGAAGCTTCACAAGATTCCTATGCTGGAGTTTAGCAATGAAGATAACCTCATTCTTGAACTCGTCAGTTCCCTGTGCTGAGTATCTTGAAAGTCTCTTTACTGCTATTTCTTGTCCATCTTTCAGCATACCCTAGTTATCCAGTAAATTAGTTGAATGAGCTTCTCCAGAATATTTTACTGACAAACAATAAACTAGATTTTGACATTGCTGTTTAGATGAAATAGGAGAATGACATATCAATTTTCTTACCGAAACATGTGTTTTCGTTTTAAAGTTTCGGAAATTCCTTTTTAGGCAGTTATTTTGGATGAAATAGAAAGAGCTGAAGTTAAAATAGTTACCTTGTAAACAGGTCCAAAACCACCCTCTCCAAGCTTGTTGTTCAATGAAAAGTTATTGGTAGCATGAGATATAGTTTCAAAATCAAACAATGGTAAATCTAGCTCTTTATCTTTCCTTTCTTTAGTGCAGAACATTTCAGAGATTCTTGTTCTTCTTCCTGTTAAAATAAGGACTTAATTGGATGTAAAGAGAAATTCTGATATTTACCAAATGTAACTCCAGAAAAAACAGAACCACAAATTCAAAAGCAGCAAAACCTCTGAGGTTTACCTTTTCTAAAATATTGCTGATTCTTCTTCTTTTGCCTTATGTACATGATTAAGCATAGTACTAGGAGCAGACCTAATGCTGCCAGTGGCAAGCTGATTGTCAGTTTGTTTACTTTCCCTGTACTGGAGTTACCTGATGACAGAAATAAATTCGTAAGACGAAAAAAAAAAACTGTTTTGGTTTTCAAATAATGTAGAGAAACCTCAACTTGCTCACTAAATGGCATTTAATTTGGTCTAGAATACTCAAAATCTAATGTGGCATACTTAACAGCCTAACATGAAAAAGTATAGAAACAGATTTATACCAAACTCAGAAGAGTCCAACTTTACATAGATATCTTGCCCAGTAGCACCAAACTCTCTGATGTCCATCAGCTCATCAAACCAAAGCAAGCAGTCTTCATTTGTCCCTGTTATGTCTGGATTTGCATAAGCCATACACGAGCAGTTTCTCAAGCACAATTCTTCGCATGCATTAAGAGTCACTCCTCCACTGTACCAGGAAAAACGAGTATCTGGCAACTTGATGCCTTGATACTTGAAGAATTTAACTTCCTTTTGGCAATTCAATATTGCTGTCTTTCTAACACAGCCACCAGACCAATTTCCCCTTGCCCATTCTGTTGGATCTTTGGGTTCAAATTTATCCAAACATCTGCAGATTGGGGAATTGCCGCTGTTGCACAAACCATATGAATGACACTGGCCATAAATGTCACAGTTATCAGCTGGTGCACTGACAACATCGTCCCAATTTTGGGTCCGATTATTCCATTCTGAAAGCTGTAGAAATCCATTTAGTTGCATCACTACCCTTGCAATGATAGAGCTGTCTGTAAGTTCATACATGAATGATACTTCATTAGGATCAGATAAGTATGTATAATTATAACCATTCCACGATGTGTCACGAGATGGTGCATTAGGAAAGACTCGGCCATTCCATGGTCCAGCTCTGTAGAGTTCAATGGAACCATTCATAACGAATGTTTGTAGGAATCCACCAGTATCAAATGTCCAGGTAAACTGACCCCTGGAAGGATCATTTGTACTCTTCCATGACGAAAGGGAACGATGAAAACCAGTTTTCAGATTAATCCCAACCTTCATTCCAGGTAAAGCCGTGTCACCTGGATTGTCAAAACTTTGCCACAGGTAGTTCTGAGGCTTATCCTCGGCTGCATCTCGAACAACAAGATTGCCTGAATCAAGGAGTTGTGCTACTGGATTTTGCCCATGTCTAGTGGAATTGGAGGACCAAATGACTCTGCCAGAACCATTTAGAAGAGTAAGTATTCCTTGTCTGGTAAAATTTAGCACACTCGATGTGTCATTGAGTGGATTGTCTCTATTAGCAACCCATACCACTGTCTGTACAGTAACTTTATTAAACAATATTCCTAAGTAGCGTTTCCCGGATGTCCCAGGGGAAAAAAATTCCAACTTAAACTTGCCATCTGATGAAATAATGGTGCTTCCATCTGTTAGAGGTTGATTTGCAGGTATGGTATGTTGAGCACTCACACTCGACAGAATCCATATGGATGACATGAAGTAAAGTATGTTTATGGCCTCCATTAAAATGAGATAGCAGATGGAATTTGATTTCACTTGCAGATGGAGTCATGGAGATGTTCAGAATATGAAGCTTCATAATCTATTTGCTATTATGTTGATAGGTTGACATAAAAAGATTGTCGCGTGGAAATTTTGCATAGCCTGACCAAAATAGATAGGTTGAACATTCTTATTAACATAGTCGCGTGGAAATTTGCTATGTTCACATCTCTTTATCTTATTATAACTTAGCGCGTTTTGTTATAATATTTTGGCAAAAGGCAAAAATTCCCTCTTTAACTTATCCCAAAAAGTCAGTTACATGTTTAAATTATCATAGTAACCTATTAAACACCTATACTATTCAAAAGTGAATTTTCTTACCCCTAAAAACTAACGTGGCAAAAAAATAAAAAATAGGCGCGTTAATTTGAAATTAAAGTAAAAAAAAATTAGAATCCTCTTTTCCACCCCACCTCCCACACCTCTTCTTCTTCAAACCCCACCCATTGTCCTCTTCTTCTTCATTCTTTATTTTTCATCACACTTCTTTATTCTTTATCACAATCTGAAAGCACAATTTTTTTTGATTCGCAATTAGGTTAATTCCCCTAGATTTGTTAGTGAATAATTGTATTTTATCTAGAAAATTTTTGATTGATTATTTCTATCTTTTTCATTTTTTTTTAACTTTGTTCAAGAATTTTTTGTTGTTAATCAATTTTTGGGTTTGGTGGTAATAGCAGCTTTATGCGTTTGGTGGTGATGGATGGCGGGTGACAAACATTAAAAGAGGTAATGGAAGGTAGTGAAGAAGAAAAAGTCGTTATTGATAATGGTGGTGGTGATATTTGGTGTTGGGTGACAAAGAAGAAGAAGAATTGAAGGTGATATAGTGGTGGTGAAGAACAAAATCAATAGTGAAGGTGGGGTCGGATATGATTTTCCGATGAAATGAGAATTGAAAATGGGTGGGATTAGTGATGAAGAAGATATAATTATTAGAGAATTAAAACAATTAATAAGGATTAGTGAAAGTAAAATATAGTTAACAAAAGAAAAGTTACTTAATAAAGAAAACAAAACAAAAAAATATAATTTATGACATGACGTTGACGTAGCGTTGACGTGGCAGCGAGTGTACTACACCACATAATGTGAGAGTGGTGTTACACGTCTCAGGGTGGTAATAAATTCACTTTTGAGTAGTTAAGGTGTGTAATAGGTCATCATGATAGTTTAAGCGTGTAACTGACTTTTTGGGATAAGTTCAAGGGGGAATCTATGCCTTTTCCCTAATATTTTTTAGACATAAGTATTGAAAACAGTACTCTAAACTTGACGTGAATTATTATTTTAGTGTATTAACTATTGACAGTCTTTAAAACATTCCTCTAGTTGATTAAATAATTTTAAAACATTGCTCTACTTGATTAAGTAATTTAAAAACACACATTTTATGCCACATGTCATCTACCCAAGCGAATCTCTGAAATTTTCTATTGATATGGCTACACATAGATATATCTATTATAAAATAAGTATTTAAGAAACATTTATAATCAAATGCTAAGAATCTATATATATAAAATGAAATGATAGATAAAGTGATATGACACCTCTCTATGTCATTTATATATTTTCTCTTTTTTTTACCATTTTTTTAATTTAAATCAATTATTTTATTATAAAAGTAATTTACTTAATTTATTACAAATAAATATTTTATTATTGAGTTACATTTACAACAAAAACTCTTCGCATGCCTAAAAACCTTTTTTTTACCCTCCCTAGGAGCTCCCACCCCTTTTGCTCCATTGGTGACTCAAACTCGCAACATTCGGGTTGGAAGTGAAGGGTGCTTACCATCCGAGCAACTCCCTCTCATCAAAAAAAAAAAAAACCTATGTATCTTTTGTCTCCTTTTTAGTCTTTTCTTTACTTCATTATTTTTATTAATTAATCAATTATTTAGTAATTAAAATAATATTACATCTACTTAGATTTCATGAGTTACAAAAACCTTCATCTTTTTGTATCATCCACTTAATTAACATGTCTCCTTAACTTCCTTCAACATGATTCTTATGACTTAACTTCCTTCAGCATGATTCTTATGACTTAACTTATCTATAAATAACAATCATCTATAGCTATGTTGGATGTTCATTTTGATTTCCATTCCTCCTCCTCCTCCTCCTTCATTATATATATAGATATATCTTTTTAATCTTTTATTAATTTTGTACTCCTTTATTTTCCCAAAGGAATTTAAGGACATCAAGCCAAGGGCTGAGATCAACAAGAAATGAGCATTCGACAATAGTGGACATTAACCAAACCCAAGATAAGCTCAAACACAAAGAGCTTATAAGACCTATTATTTTGTGCTGAACTTTTTTATTTTAGATGCTCTAATTTTTTGCATTCGTTTTTTATTTGTTTTGTATAGATTTTATTTAATATAGAGTAAATTAAGAAAAGTTAGATATAGAAGAAGTGATGTGACATGTCTTAATATGTCGAAAAAAAAATTGGTGGATGAGGTATACCATGTCATAGTTGTATGAGGAAACTTTTTAATAGAACAAAGTACATTTTGTAGGTCCATCATCCATGTCTTTTGAACATCTTCTTTTCTCTCCTTACTCCTCCACCCTCACCTTCTATTTACCCTTCCATTTACTATAGAGAACTTTATATTAATATTTTTTAATTTAAATATATTTCATTACGTAAATTTAAAATAACACAATAACAATATCAAAGAAAAATAAAAATACTACCTCCGTCTACTTTTATTTGTCATGTTGCGTTTTTCAAAAGTCAATTTTTGACTAATTTTCAAAGTTAAATTAGATTATATTAATTCAATATTTTAAACAAAAAATTTAGATTTTCAAAAACTATATGAAAAGTACTATAAATTGCAATTTCTTGCATATCAATATGATGAAAAATACATTGTAAGATGTTATTCAAAGTTCTTATAGTTTGACTCTATAAAAGGAAACCATGACAATTAAAAGTGGGCGGATGAAAGAGTAATATCTTAAAATTAGAATGTCATTATTTCTTAAAATTAATATTTATTTTCCTTACCTTTTCGATACTTCATAACATTCATTTGTCAAAAATAAAATAGAGATAAATATATTGATACTAATTTAAATTTAAAGTCAAATAATTACGTACTTAAAAAAGGTTAAATTAAGATGTGTGCACTTAAACTCATAAAAAGTCTTTTTGTTTAGTTTTAGGATAAACATAAATAGTTATTTAAAATTACATGTCAATCAACAAAATCAAAATATAATTAATCAATTCTTTTTTTTTCAGTTTACTCTCTTCATCAATTTATTGAATTATTTTTTATTTTCGAAAGTCAAACTATAAAATATTATTTTTTTTCATATACTAACATAATAAGAATTGCAACTTTAGTATTTTTGGTTGAATTGCAACTTAGTGGGAAGGATTATTTATGAACAAACATAATAAATTGCAGTTCTTATGTTAATATATATATTTCTAGAGTATTTTTATTATATCTTTGTGATACGCTTTTTCTAATGAAATTTCTTTCATATTCTAAAGAAAGTCTTGAGTTGCTACTCGAACTTCCTATTTCTTGTGTTTTTTCAAATTGAATTTCATATTCTTCTGGAATTTGTGATTGTTGAATTTCTTCTTCAACAATTCTTGCAATTTCTGCACATTCTTTATCTATTTCAATAATTTCTTTGTTTTTGTAAACTTTATCATAATTGGAATTGGTAACTGTATACAAAGCTTGATAATATATACTCATAATATGATTACCTGGTTTAAACAGGTCATGAAAATGACAATTTAGTACTACAAACTTATGCGTCAGATTATCATTGGGGAGCATTATTGCAAACTGATTTGAATGAAATTTGCAGGTACACAAGCGGTACATTTAATGATGCAGAAACAAGATATTCTACAAACGAAAAAGAATTACTAGCCATTGTTAGAGGAATTAGAAATTTTTTAGCTTTCCTTCTACCTAAACAATTTGTTATTAGAACCCTGATAAATAGGGTATTTGAAAAAATGCAATTTGTGTCAAATTCAATCGATGACAAAAGCCAAAAATTATTCAATATCAGAGATGATCTAATGAGCTTGTCCGAACAAGCGAGAAAGATACAGTACGAAATTAATCAGCTAAGCAACGACCAAGCTGAAAACATGTATGAATTTCTTTTATTATGTGAATATTTGGACACATGTCCAAAAAGAAATTCCAATCCTCAGGGGAATATAAATAAATATATATATACTAGTTTTTTGACACGTGCGTTGAACGTGATTACCAATTCTAAAAATATAGGTTATAGTAAATAGTATTGCTTATTTAAGAGAAGATTTGAATAATAAGATTAGCAAAAAATAATTATGCAGATTCTTTTGTGAATGTTCAATATGGATCGTCATACATATCTCTTATTCATGCGAATCTATGAAGATGGTCAGTAAAAAAATTTATTAGTTAAATGCAATAATGTGTATATATATATATATATATATATATATATATTTTAATTTGATGAGGTTCAATTATTTATTAGTCGTATCTCACTAATATTATCTTAAAGCAATATTTGTTTTGTATTTTTTTCCCATCTAACCAGATGTGCTTTGCACGTGTATTCTACGTTAAATTGTTTAGATGTCATATGAACATGTGAAGAAAACAACTACATTTTATCTATTAGAACTATTTTTTGTATATTAATTTTGATTTTATAAGTTATAACACAATAGATGGCATACTTGTTGTTGGCTCTCATATTTAATTACTCGATTGACTGTGTACATAAATCAAAGATAGTTATTTGACTGTCCATAGTTAATTGAGAAAGGTTTCCTTTTTTTTTACCGAAAAATAAAAAAATTAAAGAATATATTCTATCTCTAAAATCATATATATAATCACATGTTCATTTTACACTCTACAAAGATATAGTTCATATACTTGTAAACGATTTTCAATTTATTCAACCAAGAATGATTCGTCAAAGGAAAAATA